TCCCTGACCCCCCATGCCTCCTGATGGCAAGACATCTGCCAGCAGGGGTTGACAGGCACCTCATACAGGAGAGCTCCAGCTGGCATCTGGTTGGTGTCCCTCTGGAACAAAGCTTCCAGAGGAAGGAACAGGCAGCATTATTTGCTGTTCTACAGCCTCTGCTGGTGATACCCAGGCAGATGGGTCTGGAGTGGACTTCCAGCAAACTCCAGCAGATCTGCAGCAGAGAAGCCTGTTAGAAGGAAAACTAACAAACAGAAAGGAATAGCATCAACATCAACAAAAAGGACATTCACACAAAAACCCCATCTGAAGCTCATCAACATCAAAGACCAAAGGTAGATAAATCCACAAAGACCAAAGGTAGATAAATCCACAAAGAAAAACCAGTGCAAAAAGGCTGAAAATTCCAAAAATCAGAATGCCTCTTCTCTTTCAAAGGATTCCAACTCCTCACCAGCAAGGGAACAAAACTCGACAAAGAATGAGTTTGATGAATTGACAGAAGTAGGCTTCAGAAGGTGGGTAATAACAAACTCCTCCAAGCTAAAGAAGTATGTTTTAACCCAATGGAAGGAAACTAAGAACCTTGAAAAAAAAAAGGTTAGAGGAATTGCTAACTAGAATAACCAACTTAGAGAAGAACATAAATGACCTGATGGAGCTAAAAAACATAGCACGAGAATTTATTATTTCAAATGGGAGGGGATACTAGCAAATACCATTTCTTAAATGAATATTACATGAATATTACAATTAGAAAAATATGGGTAAATGCTTCGAAAATTTTTAACATAACCACTAGAAGAATTAAATATATGCTATACTTCAAGGACACAAATGACACTGCAAATCAGATATGAAAAAATGTACTAAACTAAAAATTGCTGTGACATTTTTCCGCATTGTGGGTTTTACTCCTGTGAAAACCCAGTAACAAGCACATCTGTAACGTGAAAGATTCAGATTCAACTACTTTTACATAAATGCAACCAAAGCTCATTAATTCACCCACATATGATATATAAATTATTGAGTTAATCTTGGTTTGCTAGACAAAATATAAAAATACAGTCTCAAAAGGCAATACTTAGTTTTACAAGGACTTTACAAAATTAATTCTACCTGTGAAAGATAAAAAAATTGAATTACTACTCTTTATTAAGGAACAAATATAATCAAGTGGACCCTGAACCTTAGAGTAAGGGTCAAACTCTAAGTATTGTTTAATGTGGTTTATCTCTGGCTACCTCATAAGAGCATAATTTTTTATTCCTATTTATTCTCTGAGATGTTGACACATCCCTTGTCTTTTTAAGAAAATATATCCTTCATGAATTATTGAGTTCTTAGAGTCATGTTTTTATTCACTTTTTCTCTTGATATTTACAAAGACTTTTTCCAGAAAATTACATTAGATTCCTGGCAAATGATTGGATTGGCAAATGATGCAAAAATATAGATCAATAACAAATTGGAAAAATCCATTATATATAATGTTATCAAGGGTTAGTGAGGATGTGGGGGAAGAAGAAATGATATATATGTTGGTTGGAGTGCAAAGACAGATCAGGGCTGTTGTAGGAGGGTTTATATAAATTTTAAAAACTGATCAAACAAAATAGTTTTCATGTTTACATAAAGTATGAAACGTATCAGAATGTTATATGCCATATTTAAAAGTGTTCATCTCTGAGGAGGGAAAAGAAGATTCTACAAGGGTCTGAATACCAGAAAATGGGGATCACTGAAAAGCTTCCTACAACAGTGATCACCCAAATTATTGGAGACTTTCAAATGTAAAAAACGCCCATGAAAAGTAAATGACAAAAATTAGAGCACTTCACAGCACAGTACTGTACTGACTGGATCAGTATTTTCCACACTGTGGGTACTTTTCCACGATGAGAATAAATGCTTTTGAACACTGAAGAATTCTCTTAAAGACAGACATCAAGTTACAAGTATAGACCACCAAAAATCCCTGATATTGGTTACTTCTAGATAGCATTAAAATATGAACCTGTTTAACATAATGAGGATATCTGGTCTACAGTTACAAAGCTGACACAGGCTATACAACAAATTTCATTAACTTGTTGGGCATGACTTCATCTAGGATTACTCACTCGTAGTTTCAATGTGGAACTGTAAAACCTCCAGCTCATATTAGGTACTCAAACATTCAGTTATGGCCCATAGCTACTTTTGGGAAGGAAAGAACACATCTAAATTTTTAAAGTTGTAAATTTCAATACTAAGAAGGATAAATATCAGCCAAACTATGCTACAATTAAACTTACTACTAAAAACACACTCAAATGCATATCTACAGTACCATCTGAGTGCTTGGAATTGTATTATTTCAAGGTCCTAATTTCCTCAATTGTCTGGCTTTTTAAAAAATGCAAAACACATTGCTATTTTTATGGTGTTTGATCTTTAAGCAGAGGTGCTTTCTTGTTCGGAGAAGGGGCCTAATTTGAAAATACTAGTCATCCAGAGGACATACAAAGAATGTGCTGTGACTGATACAAATATTTTTTTAAGTTAGCTTAGTTTTTTTCCAAACTAACACATATCCTCTATCCTTCCTCAGTACTGTTTGCTCAGCTGAATGTCCACAGGGTCCAATTTTCCCTCCAATTGCCCTTGCACGCTAATATAATTGCTGCTCATATGGGTAATTGGTCAGCCTAGAGCAGCATTTGTATGCATTTGTTCATCTACAGTATCTGGCAGCTTCTCAAATGATTCTGCACTCTTATAATACTATCATGTATTTTTACTTTTGCTTCTTTATAACAAGGCTAAGTAGGTGTGAATCTGTAAAGGATACATATTTTAAATGTTCAAAATTTGTATCTGCTGGAATATGCAGATACAAATTATTTTTATGCAGTGGATGTTTCTTTTCACTTGTCAGAGTAAATGAATCTAGTCTCAAATGTATGTGGTTCTAACTTCTCCCATTGTTTTCCTCCCCAAACAGAGCCAAATTAACTAGATAAAAACACACTTTAGATTAAAAAAAAAGTGACAAGCCATTTTTCACTTAGTAATACTACTGATGAAACAGTAAAAAACATTAATTTTACTAAAGCTTGTTCTTGAGCACATTTTAAATATTCTGTTTGACAAAATGGAAGTACACATAAAGTACGTCAGGTGAATTCCAGAGATTGTGTACAACTAAAGAAAAGAACTTGTGTGACTATTTGAGTTGCAAGCTGAACTAGCCACTTTTTTTCATGAAACACCATTTTATATTTGAAGGAATGACTAACAAACCACACTTTTTCAGACTTGGGTATTTGGCAAGCATCTTCTCAAAAATAAGTGAAGGTAATCTGTCACTTCAAGACAACTACTGACAGTATGTGGTTGCCAGTCATAAAATTCAAGTATTCACATGAAAATTCGTATTGTGAAAAATATTATCTGTCATCATGAGCCTAACTGCCTTCTAATACTTACTTTTCTGACAAGTCAGTGGTAATATTAATGAATTTATTTTGTATGGCTAAAAGAACTTTCCAAAATGAAAAAGAGACCAGTGAATTTTAAGAATATGAAAAGTTTCCTGGTATTGTTTCTAACTCCACATTGTAACTAACTAAACTTTAAGAAACCATCCCTTGAGTTTTTGTGTAGTTCCAGAGTAGAATATCTAGTTACTTGAAAAGATTATTAGAATACTACTGCTTTTCCCAACTACATTATTGGCATAAGACTAGACTTCTCCAGATACTTCTAACAAAATAACAATTCAACTAGTGTAATGCAGCAGTATGAGACCCAAACTACTTCTACGAAGGCAGCTATGAAAGCTCTGCAGCAATGTAAAATCATGGGTTTCTAAATAAAAATATTTGTTATTAATGTTAACATGTAATGAGTTTATGTTTAAATGAATTAGCTGCTATTTAATTTTTTTTCCTTTTTTTCCCCCCAAATTCTTCTAGGTCCTGATCAGTTTTATTTTCTAATACAATAAATACGGATAAATACAACTTACATAAGCAAAAATTCTTTGGGGCCTACAATGAATTTTATGAATGTAAAGGAGTCACCAAAAAGTTTGAGAACTACTGTAACATATAATCACTAAGAAAGCATTATTATAAATGCTACTTAGAATCAAAACAAAGGAAATTGCAAAAAAAAACAAGATTAAAGATTTATAACCCTTAAAAGTTTGTCAGAAGGCAAACTTCCTAACAAATCTGCTTTGACTTACCAATAAAGCAAAATTTATAGTTCTACCTGCAAATTTAGCAAATTAATTTATCCACTAATCTAGAATATTTTGCAAAATTACTTTTCTGGTGATAAAAATTTTAAAAAGAATTTTAAAAATACAGTTAAACCCCTGTTTTTCAATCTCAGGGCAGTTTCTACTAATTTACTGTTTGTAAGACCTGCTGATTTTCTTTTCAGAGCTAATGATTTTTTTTTTTTTTTCTTTTTTGGCCAACTCATGTTTACTTCTTTGTGACTTCCTACAAGTAAAGCATTTAGTTTAGGCTTAAAGAAAATTTGCCAACAAAAAGCTACTAGAATATAACTTCATAGGAACAAAGGCTTTAATTCAATATTCCCAGATCTAAAATAGTTCCTAGGTATAAACAAAGTCTCTGGATTTTACTGTATGTAAATTATTTCCCTAAGAAAAAATACTTCTATACAACAGAATAAATGTTAAAAAAATTGGGTAACTAAATCCAGCCATCTGGGTCTCAACATATCTCTAAGATAAATATGCCTAACTAGAAATACTGTGTTTGTCAATTCCAACCCTACTAGGTACATCTAGTTCTTTTTGAATACTTAATAAATTTTGGGATTATGGTAGAACAACATTCCAAGGCTAGTAATCATGAATAATTATCCACATTGTATAAAATTTTTTAAAGTGTCCTATTACATTGGTAGTACTGAAATCTAGAATTTGGGTTGATTTTCTTAAATATAAAGGTAATGGAGAAAAACAGTCCTATGTTTTTAAAAAATATTTATTTAAAAATAAGATTTCAAAAAATACAGTACGTAATACATTTTGAGAAGTAAAAATTTCACAATTTAAATTAAAAACAATCTGCAAAGAAAACTGAAATATTACATGAATAAAACTAAATCACTACAATAAATTAAAAACACATTGTTCTTAAGGTAGATACACGGTTTGTTTTTCGTATTAAGAACCAGTGTAGACTTTTCATTTAAACAAATACATCTCGGCTACATGGTTCCCACTTGTCATTTTCACCCATTTTACTCCCTCTTCTCAATCTATTCTTATATCTCTCAACTACTATTTTCCTAATTACCATTAGCACTAGAAATGTTGGTGAAGATTTTCTTTACATTCTCTTAGGGGAAAGACAAGGTAAAAAATAACAAACAATGCAAGAAAACAGCACTCAGATCTATACATATTATGCATTGAATAAAAAAATGCCTGACAAATTTAAAAACAAGATCATCATATGGCACTTGGAACATACCACTATTAAAATAAAAGTATTTTAGAAATATAATGCTAGACAGAACTTGGGGTTCACACGCAATTTTAGGAGCCTCAAAATAACACAAAATTTTGACTATTCATTAAACTTGCCAGTCAGATCATATACAAAAAAGACTAATTCCAGGGACACAAAGTGAGCTCAGACAGCATGATCCACGTGTGCTCCGTCCTTGCAAGAGCCTATCTTTGTCCCCTCATGTTAGATTTGCAATTCACTTGTCTGAGTATCTCTGATATGGTGAATTTTTTTTTTTTTTACTTTTGTATCATTTCGTTGCTTTATTCTTACACATAGTAAAGTAGAATTTTTTTTCTTTTAAATGTTCATCTCTGGGAGACAGTGAATAGAAGTGAATTTTCTACTACCCAGTAACTTGAAAAATTACTGCATACAGCCACATGCATTTAAATCATGCATAAACAAGCCAAATTACTCAGAATCAATATAGTAGCAACACAATCTAGGGAATATTGTTGGCAGATTAGAGAGAGACAATGTTGCTTCATCTCATTAGGCTTTCAAACAAATTTTGCCTTCACCTCTAATGATATGTTCATCGAGATTTCTACATATCGTTCAAATGACCTGAAGCCACATTTCACATAAATTTAAGACTTGATTCTTTTTTTCCATTCAGAATTCACTGCAAAACCACATATTGTATCTACAGTCAAGGAGAGGTTGATTTTAGCTGACTAACAATAATGTGAAATATATTCAAATGTGATTGTCTACTTTTCTAATACACACACTGTCACCTTCTTGCCAGAATCACTAACCATTTTAGCTGTAGTTGTAAGGACACAGAGTGTTTTGAGAGTTTTAAAGGGAAAAATTTGGAACCAAAATAGTATACATAGCAGTATTACATTTGGACAAAAGTACTTTAAATTACAAGTACACTTAAAGGGTGCTTTTCATTTTCGTAAAGTAAACTACTAAGCAAAATTAGTTGTAAAAGTAATCTTACTCTAACTTTCTATGTAAAGTGAATAACAATATCCAGACTCTTTTCATAAAGTTCAATATTCTGTTATCAGTTTTGCTTAAATCAAGGTATATATTTCCTCTTGGGAAAGCATCTCTCTCTCTCTGTCTCTCCGTATGTCTCTCTCTATATATCTATACACATATATATGTATATATATGTACACATACCTATATTTTAAGGGTGTTATTTTACTTTATTTGCAAAGTAGACAAATGGCAACAGTATTCTTTAAAGCCACTAAAGATTATACACACACACACATATGCTGAATTCTTGATCTGTAATCAGAATGAACCCTTAACTCTTCACTTTAGTATTTTGTTTTGGTATTCACTAAAGTGCCCAATAAGCTATACTGTTCATTTACATAAATAATATTAGAGTTCTTACTTTTTTATTGTTGCAGAAATAAAAAACTTGTGAAAAGTGCTTCAATAATCTTTTGTAATTTCAGCCTATCAAACTACCTTTGAAAGTAGCCAAGCTATATTAAAATACAAAATTAAAATCCATACATGCCTAACTGAAAAAAGGCCAAATAAGAAACATTTAAAATCCATTAAATTGTCACAGCAGCATGCAAAAAATAAGATTTGTTAATCAAACTGTTCTTAGTAACATTAAATTCTACTTTATAAACACACAATGATGTGAGAAGAAAACTCATTCAACCAAAAAGAAAATTAACTCTTTGGTACAGGAATTTAAAATGTCATTCAATGCTAAAGTGAATAGCACCAGGATGTTTTAGAGTTGTTGAGGTTGTAAGACACTAACTTCAGGCACCAGTAGGTTAAAATATCATCCAAAGGATACTGGCAAGAATATATAGCTTGCAATATGCAGATAAGGTTTCTTTTTAGTTAACAGCCTGCAAACAATTAAACCTTGTATTTAGTCAAACAGGCAGGCAAAGCTACAAAAAAGCCCACAAATTTGTTAAGCTATTTGTCCACATCTTTGTTTACATGTAAAGCTATCAATACCAAAACAATCAGTGTTGAACTGTTGTAAGCATGACATTACATGTTACAGATATTCAAAATACCAATAGAAATGGAGACTTTAAAAGTATCAAGAACTCCAAAATATCTCAAATGTTAAAGTGAAAGCCACCCTTATATGCATATTGTTTATTTTTCCTCCACTGACAAAATTTTCTATACACTCAGTATCTTTTCTTTGCAATAAGAGATTTCCAGAAAAGGTGCCAGTTTTTTCAAACTTTGGGCAACCTATTCATTTCTCCTCTGCATTAAATTGCTACATTTTCAACATTATTTTTAACACTTCATGTTAACACACTCTACACAATTATGATATTTAAAAGTAAAATATTTCTCAAAGGCATCTGACCAACTGAAGAGAAACAGCAATATAAATTCCTTAAGTTAAATAATTCAAACTAAATATTTATATGCACTAACAACTCTTCCAGTAAAAACGGTATAAATAAGAGATAAGGCTAAAATAATTACAGCAAAGAGATCTTCTGATGTCAGAAACTGGCTCCAGTCAACTCTGTTGCTGCGATGGTGATTATTCATGCACCATCCAGCCTTCTCTCCATCTTAGTAAGTTTTTAGATGCTCACTACTCATTTGTACCTATTCTCTAGGGTAGAGAAGGCAAAAATAACTTCATCATAGTAAAAAAATAATGATACTGGAAAATATCAGTAATATCAATGACTTTTAAAATATCACTGTTATTTCGGTTTCAAATTAGCAGGCAGTATTGCAACCTCTGAAGAACTAACAAAGATGTAGTAAGTTTTGTTGTTAAAAACTGCACAGTGATAAAGAAGTCAGAGAAATGTCACTTTCCTGAAGTTAAACCATCATCACCTCAAAAGCAGCAGAAATGCTAAATACTGATTAATATATAGAATTACAACATTGGTTCAAAATACTTCAAGCAAGTTGGTTCTAATACTTTCTCACATGGTACTGTAGAATATTCTAGAATTCAACTGAGAATGTCTATAGAGCACAATGAAATTTGTGATTTATAGATAAATTCAGAGGATAATTTGTAGAATAAAAGTTAACAAACGGGCATTAAATAACACATTCATTAATTATACAGTTAATAATACTAGCAAGTAGAACACATTAAATGTACACGGCTTATTAGCTACATTTACCAATACTTATGTATTTTTTAAAGCAGTAGTAGTAGAGTTGTGTGAAAATCTAACATTTCTATCTATTAGCAAACCACTTAATGTTAGTATGTGTGAATTTTATCAAACGAATTCTAGATATATCTATGTATATTAGAGGTCATCTCAGAAACGTATTTAATAAAGTAACTACAGGTTATTAAATTTGGTAAACTTGAGCTAAGTAATCTATTGTCACAGGAAGCACAAGAGAAGCAGAGACTAGAGCAAGCTCCAGAGAGAGACTAGCAGCTCTGTTAATTAATATGAACGGCATATTAAACCAGAGCTTGATACATTGTGATTTTATAGCAATACACGTGAAAACCCTCAAACTGCCCCATGAAAACACTCAAACACACATAAAATTGTGTGGCCATAATCTAAATCAGTTCACACTTCTTGGTTGGAAGTGTTGTCCTAAGTCTTCATGATTAGCATTCAGAATTAATACACCCTTTGGAGTGAAACATATTGCCAACTAGTTACTTGTTAAGGAAGTGACTTGAATGTCTAACGAAGAATAGTTATCATTAGCCACCATACTTAGAGAAAAATGCCTCTATGCATTGGCAAAAACATACTGATGTTAATTCTGACAGGCGTTTTAACTCAGCTGTTATACTGAACATTACATATTATGTTCTCCATTTTATTAATACTAAAATAAACTACTGTTTTTCTGAAAAAGAGGTTAATATGCTAACTACAATTTAAAATAGCTATTTCTTATGTTAAGCACGAATATTTTCAATACAACTCTTAAGCAAAATAGCACTTTTATTATAATGGAACATCAGCTAACTTGGTATTTTTAAACTATAAATCTGGGTTACAAAGTACCAACAGCTCTCTAACTGAATGCCTACTGGTTGAGGGGTCCTGAACTGAGTCCATTTTTGCCTAAAATCTTAAGCCTATACAAAGGCCATAAATATTTTTGTTTGCAGAAAACAATGACAAATATGACTGTTCAGGAGGTGTAACTTATAGTATAGTAACTTATAGTAAAAACCTTCTATTTCCTGAAGCCCAATAATGACTCTACTAATGTAGAGCATCCTTTAACATACATTTTGCTTAAAATTAAACAGAATGTTTATAAAGAAATACTTCAGTCCAACATACATATTACATCAGTAATCTCACCGCTCACAATTATTTTCTAATGTCCAACACCTTTAGTTGTTTTCATAGTTTTCCAGAATACATAATAAGTTGATTACTAAAACTATAGATATAACTCTGGGAAAGTTAAAAAAAAAACAGAAAAGGAAAAGTATACAAAGAATCATTAATTTCTGTGTTATTTTAAGGCAATAGAGCCAGTAAAAACAATTCATTTCAAAACTGAGTAAAAAAAAAACCCTAAATATAGTTTTTTAGCTATTCATTAAAACACAGTAGATGCTTGGTTGTTTTTGTAGCTACAAGAAATTTCTATTTTGTAATAAATTGGTAAAGGTAACACCTTTTCCTATTCTAAGGAATTACTCTGCCAAAATCAGGTTTAAAATAAAATATATGAAACGGCTTAGTTTATCCTAATCTGATATAAATTTGTGACTGATCGATAACAAGAATTTAATGAGAATATACATAAATGAAGCAAAGTAGTCATCACATTCTTAAGAACTAGAAATATAAAAACAACATGTTCACTTTCATAAAATTTTACATTTTTATACATACACTCTTCCTAAGTTTGTACTTTTGATATATTCAGAATGTGGCTATACTATTTATTTACTTAAAGGGCAGTAAATCTCTAGTGCCAGTATAATTACACCAATTAGCCAAAAGAGGGCGCAGAAAGAACACTGGTAGATACTTAGGAAACTGCCAGTTGGTTTCTCTCTAGTAGTCTAACAAGAATTAATTAACAAAACCCACAGGAGGGTTAGGTATGCAAACCTGGGAATACTGACAGTTACATAGTAAGTATATATAGATATACTTTAATATACATTCTTATGTAAATATACTGATAGCATTTCTGCCATTCAAATAAAATAAGCATATGCTTTTCTAGTGTATTCGTTTGTAGTCCAATAATTTAAAGTTATTGAGTACAGAGGGATCAGGACGAGGGAAGGTAAAGAGGAAAAGAGTAAAGAATATACCCTAGAAGTGGTAAATCTAGGAAAAATAAGAATACAAATCATCAGAGTATGAAAGAGATGCCACCCAGTACCTTTCAGTGTACCTACTGCTACCACATAAAGTATAAATTAGCCACAGAGATCTTTAGGGGATGTTCATTGGCTCTGTTGTTTTCTTAAGGTCCTTATTTGAAAGGAATGCATACAATATAAGGCATTCAACTGACATCTACTTCCATTATCTATATATTACTTCCTTATAAACAGTTCTGTCACCAAGCCAAATGTGGTCAATTAGCTCGCACAAAATGCAACCCATTTGCCTGACATGAACATTCTAATTTTGTGTTTCATGAAGCTTTATAAATATATTTCTTCTATTTAATTCACTACATCTTTTTTAAGTACCAATAAATACGTTCATCTGCCACTTCTGAGTTTTTAAGTAATAAAGTATTCTAATTAGAACATGAAAAACATAATATTAACATCTCTGAGAAGGACTTACTCTATTATTTCAGAATATTTTATAAGATATTTACAATTTCTGAAAGAACTAACCACAGTACAGCCAACTGGCTGACAATGGTAACCTTCTGTTTAATTATTTCCCAGGTATTATTCCTTACTTCCAAGACTAACTAAAAGGAAAATATTAGCATGGTTCATCAACAGCAGACTTTTTCAATCTTCTCTTCAAGGGAAAGACTGTGAGCACATAAATTCTTTTAAAAGATATATGAGTTTTGCAGTATTCTAATGGAAAAAAAATTAAAAGCTGAGTTTTTTCAAAGCATACTAAATGTCTTTTCATACAAATGTTCTATGCCTTGCAAAAGAACAACACTATTAGTAATATAAATTTGTGCAAGGATAATGATAAACCCAGATCATTATATTTTTTTATTTTAGGGTCACTTCCTAACATTAGCTAATCTCTCAATGCAAATTATAGCCAAACAATTAAAATTTAATTTTAATTTAGGTGATTATAAGTACACAAAAATTAGTAACTTCTTTTAGTAGTAGCTTCTTATAAATAAAATTTCTATATGAGTTGGTCAATATCTATATATAAACCTTCAATGTGGAATTTTACATCTATTAGTACATAAATAAAAGTAAAAAGTATACTCTTTTCAAAAGCACAATATTCCTCTTTATACTGTACATTATATATTATCTAATTATACTAGCATTTTAAAAACATATGCATCCTAACGTAACTGCACTAGAAAAGGTAATTGTGAAGTTATTGCAAATTCTCTCCCCTTTTTGCTCATTAAAATCTTAGGGTAAAACACGAATACATGCCCACTGGTCAGGAGTTCTCCTGGGGGCAAATATTCTAATCACAATCAATAATTACAACAGCAATGATGAAAATGGAAAAATTATTGTGAAAAAAGTTTTAACGTTTCCTTTACAGTCAGGTAGGTAGTTGGGTGTTTTACTTCAGTGGTACTTTTATTTTGGTTTTGGTGAAGAAAAAAAGAAGAAAACATTAGCCACTCCTAGGAAACCACTGCCCTTTTTTGTTGCTGTTGCTCACTCCTTTGCTGCTGCATTTTTTAAAAATGTTGCAGCATACATAAAAGGAAAGGTTATTTAAAATTGGATTTGAAAAAGAAAATTTATCTATACTATAAGAAGGTGTATCAGCTTTTGTAAAACTTGAAAAATTAAATTCAGATTTGGTTAGTACTGTTTAAAAGTGAAAATTTTAAATTAACATCTGAAATTTACCATAAATTAGAATCTGTAACATTGTCAGTACTAAAAGAAATTATGTACCATTATTTCATCCCAAGCACTGCCTTTTGAGTTTAATAACAAAAGCATTTAAAGAAATCCCTGTGGAAAGCTAATTTGAAAGTAAACATGCTTTAAAACTTAAATATAGATCTTGTATTAGTCCCACAACAGGATCAAGATCACTATTAAAATAAAGCCTGGGGCACATTATGATGCCTATGATTGGTGGGTGGATTTTAATTGACTTGAAGACTGTCATAGTTCTATTATCATAAAACCTGTAACGCATTTCCAGCATGGAGGACCCATCTGTGCCCACCATCCATCTGTTTAGACATGATTGGCAAAGTGGTAGGGAACTCGCAGTGGTTGCCTCTGCCTGAAAGGAATGAACCACAGGATCTTCCAACGAGTGCCAAAAACTTCTGAGAAGGTCTGCTGCCATGGCTTTCGGGGCCTCGATCTACAGAAGACAGCATTATTAGTGAAAGACAGCACTCCCATGGTGCACTTCAGTCAGCTAAAACAATACAGGTTGGCTGGGGATCCATTACTGGACTCTGATGAATTGTGTCCCAGCATCATAAACACAGCTTTTCTTTCATTATGGCATGCAGCTGAGTTTTAACTCTGGATAACAGATATTGTATCTCTGTCGTCAATCAACCTAGCAAAACTTTTGAAGCAGAGGAGAATCTCAGGATTAACAGAATGTGTGTCAACAACACAGTAGCAAATCTCTTTTGATGTACTTTCAGGACAAATAATTTAACTTACTTTAGTTAGACAAGGCAAAAGAATGAACAGCATTTTAGTGTGAAAACTATCATGGCTGGAAGACCCCTACTGTAAGACTGGGGTATGCTCGTCTAGCACGGGCCTCAGACAAGGCAACAAGAAAAAGCCATCATTATATTATCTTTCTACAATATGCACATATTTCTCAAATATGTCTTATTTTTAAATAAGAATACCACACATTTCAGTTTTATACTTACATATCTTCACAACAGTTTGACATCTTTTCAATAGATGTTGTATCCTATCAAAAACAAAAAATTATTTTCAGATATAACAAAGTTATTGTCTTTATTCTATATCTATTCTATGATGTTTTTAATGTTATTCTGAGATTATTCTAAACATTTAAACCATTTATATATGAGTATTATAAAATTTAAATTATCTTTCACACATTGCTGGAATCCCCTTGGAAAAACAAAATCAACATTATGCAAAAAAAAAAAAAAAGATTTGGTTAGTACTGTTTAAAATACAAAAACCTCACAAAAACTGTGGGAGTAGCACTTCATTAAAATATAACCTTTTAATACATTTGCTTTCTTGACAATTCATTTGAAAGTCTACAGTCTACTTTCAACTTAAGTGTCAATGAATACGCATTAAAAATAAATATAAAAATGACATCTGAAATAAACTAATGAACTGAAAACTGCCTAAGAGTCGAAGAGTGCTACGGGTTCTAGATTTCTGTAAACAACAACAAAACTCAATAAAGCAATCTATGAATTTGCCATATTACAGCATCTATTACTCTGAAAACTAAGCTGACCAGAGTTCTTTTTTAGCAGAAAAATAACTTTTTTCATAATAATGCAATTCCCTAATTGTATGCTTTCTATAAGGCTCTAATGCAAATACATAAGAAAAACATTTCAACAAACAAAAGACTGCTTTCTAGAAATGCTGGTTTAATTTCTGTTGTCAGAAGACTGATCATTAGATTGGCAAACCGTTATGATAATAGCCAAATAATAAAAACACAAATTATACAATCTTATTTTTAGAAATTTATTTGTATTTTAAATATTCTTTGAAACAGTGCAAAAGAGTATATTCATTCAAACATACCAAAAGTTGGAGAAGTTATCTTTTTATCCCTTTACCTAAACACTTTGCTCATACACTGGTGAACTTATTAAGCAGTACTATTCATACAAACACTTGCAGCTACAAGTAAAATCCCAAGAACTTACTTGGCTGTAAAACTTTTTTTGCATGATGCCAATAAACAGCACCTTCACTCAAAAACAACTCTTTAGAGACGTTAAATAGCTCATCATATTAAATTCTCATTATGAATAGTTGCATAACTAGTTAGCCTATATAAGAAGAAATTAGAGAAAATGGATCTACTTTTAAGATAACTAGTAACCAATAACACAGTTTCATTTACAGATTTTCCAGGAATTTTTTTAAAGCTATAGATTAGCTATATATTCTATATTAGTTTTTCTATCAAACATTATAATTCATGGTATCCAATGATAATTCTATTAATAATTAACCTTTCTCAGCTCTGTTGTAATTTCCTCAAAATGTGTGACTTTATGAAAACACAGTCTATAAACATATAACACTGATTAGGGTCTTAGAGGAAATTTGGGCCTCAAGTTCCACAGCTGTAAAGGAAGTAAATGAAATCATTTTAGTGGTTTCTTAGAGTTTTGGTGGTGACATGTTGTTCCAGAGCAATTGAAACAGCTTGTGCAAAGAAAAAGATGAAACAGAAGTCAAAGAGAAAGATGAAATAGAAATGCTATTACGAAAGGTATGTGAATGGCCTAAGATCACAGTTGTGGGCAACACTTAAAAACTAGAAACTATTCCATGGCATATAAGGCAAATAAAAGGTCCGACAACTATCATCAGCTAAAATTAAGGGAAATTTTTACTATGCAGAAACTGCAACTTCCTTATAATCCTGAGAGATTTATTTGTGGCATTAGAAAAGTCAACTTTAAAGATTTCAGATTTAGATTTCATACAGAAAAGGCTTTTATTTTCAAATGTTTTTGATACCTTCCCCAAATCTGTTTCAGGAAATAACTAGAAGACCATCTACTAAATCATCATAAGCATGGTTATTCTTTCAAACAATGTGATATTTACCATTATTTTAGGAGTAGGATTTGTGAGGCTGGCCACAATAGGCTATATTTTTCCTCTGGAAATGGCAAATGCTCATCTCTCTGAAACGCTATCCAGAATACTGTTATAAGTACAATTTGTATTTCAGCAACCGAACATGTCATCAAGTTTTTGCACTGGTGCTTACACGTAACACACCCAGAGCAATATAAGTTAAGTTATCAAATCCACAAGTAGGACAGAAACATCAAACTAGAAGAGAACAGGGGTTACTACCAGCAAGAATACGAAAAAAACACTTTATCCTCAAATGTCAAATTAAGTTTAATATACTTTTGGCATTTTAAAAAACACTAAAATAATTAAAATATTTTGGTGCAGATAACTTCATTCAATACCGAAGACTCAACATGGTTAGTGCCCATCATAAAAGGACCAATATGATAACTATTATCCTTAAGGAGTTTAAATACAAAGTATAAGTTCTTAGTGATATGTAAAACTCAGCATTCCAGAGAAATTCACTTGTCCAGGAATAACATTTCCACCATGTGTTGTCGATGAGAACACTTCATTTATAGAGAAATATTTATGCCTTGATTACAGTCTAATGATCAGAACATCTAAGACTTTCATCAGTCTATAACTAAGAGATATTTAAGAATAATTTATTATTTTAAAAACTGGAAGTTTTTAAAAAAAATAATGAACTAGAAACAGCAAGACATACAGAAATACAGGCCCTACCTAGTTTACCTAATATTTTATCTTCTGATGGGTGATCTCACCTAAGAAATTATTTTTATTTTTTAGGTCTAGTCTAAAAAATTATGTTGACTATTAAAAAAAAACTGTACCCTAACTAATAAGATTATACCTGGAATGGGAGAAAAGGTTCGTAAGAGAAAGGGAGAGAGATATCTACTGGCCTGATGTTAGAAAAATGGGAGGTTGCGGGTGCAGGATAAAGAGCCAGAATTTATCACCAGCGGTTTCCTGGTAAACAGACCTGAGAACCCAGTCCTCTTGGCATAGACAGCTTGATGATACAATCCATCCAACTAACTCATCCTGTTTTGAGTTCATTCTCACCAAGCAACACTTTGCCACATATGTTGTTATACAGGAAAAAGAATGTGCTGAAGAGTCCTTTGGCACACCTGACAATTGCACATACAGGAATAAACAATCTGTTATATGACTATCTTGACTATCTCTTTTGAGTCTGGAAATAAGAGCCATTGCCTCTGGGCCTGTTTAACCCTGCAAACAATTTCAAAATGGAGTTTCTAGACCTGCCAAACCACAGACCTGATGAAAGTAAGAATATTCTTTTCATTAGCCTCCTTAAAGACAGTTCAATCTAACCTCAATTATCACCTGCATTCTTTATTATTATAGGTCTTGTTGATGCTTCTAAGTCTGCTATATATAGCTAACCAATGACTCTATGGTGATTTAACCTAGTTTAAAACACTATTCTATATTTTAAAAATTTACTGAAAATAGATCAAAAACTTCAATGTAAGACCTGAACCTATGAAACTACTGGAAGAAAACACAGATGAAATGCTTTATGACATTGCCTGGATAAGGATTTTTTAGATAAGACATAAAAAGCAAAGGTAACAAAAGCAAAAATAGACAAACGAGATTACATTAAACAAAAAAGCTCTGCACAGCCAAGGAAACAACACAGTGAATGGCTGGGTGTGGGGGCTCATGACTGTAATTCCAGGACTTTGGTGGATTGCTTGGGGCTAGGTGTTCAAGCCCAACCCAGGCAATATAGTGAGAACCTGTCTCTACAAAACAAACAAATAAACAAAAACTTTAAAAATTAGCAGGGATGGCAGGGTGGCATGTGCCTGTAGTCCTAGCTACTTGGGGGACTTAGGTGGGAGGTTTGCTTGAGCCCAGAAGTTCAAGACTGCAGTGAACTATGATCATGCCACTGCACTCCAGCCTAGGCGATGGAGTGAAATCCTGTCTCTTAGAAAAAAAAAAAATACAGTAAAAAATCAACCTAAATAATGGAAGAAAATCTCTGCAACCATATATCTGACAAGGGGTTAATACCCAGAATACGTAAGAAACTCAAACAATAGCAAAAAAAGAAAAATCTGATTCTAAAATAGAGAAAAGATTATACAAATGACCAACCAGTATATGAGAAAATGTTCAACACTGCTAGATATTAGAGAAATGTAAATCAAAACCACAATGAGAAATCACATAATCCCAGTTAGAATGGCTATTATAAAAAATACAAATGGTAAGTGTTGGCAAGGATGTGGAGAAAAGTGAACGCTTACACACTCTTGGGGAAGATGTGGATACATACAGCCATTATAAAAAACAGTATGGAGACACCTCAGAAAATTAAACTACCATATGATCCAACAATTAGAGTACTGGGTACACAATCAGCCCTCCATATTTGTGGGTTCTATAGCTGTGATTCAATCAACCATGGATCACAAATATTTTAAGAAAAACAATTTTTAAAACAATAATAATACAAATAAAAATAATATTTAACAACTATTTGCATAGTATTTACATTGTATTAGGTATTATAAATAATCTAGAGATGATTTAAAGCATAAGGGAAGATGTCCATAGGTTATATTCAAATACTACATCATTTCACATAAAAAACAGGAGCATAAGTGGATTCTGACATCCCTGTGGAGTCCAGAAATCAATCCCATGGAGAGTGAGGGACAACTGCATAGCCAAAGGAATAAAATCAGTATGTCAGACTCCCATATTGATTACAGCACTCTTCGCAATAGCCAAGCCATGGAATCAATCTGTAACTAACAGCAGATGAGTAGATAAAGTAAATACGATATATATACATAATGGAATATTAATCGGCCATAAAAAAGAATGAAAATATGATCATTTGCAATCACATGGATAAATGAAACAAGCCAGTTACAGAATGACAAATGCTGACTGTTCTTACTCATATAGAGAATCTTAAGAAAGTTGATCTCATAGAAGTATGAATAGAACAGTACTTGGCAGAGACTGGGGAGGGTAGAAAGAAGTGAAGGATGGGTAAGAGGATGGTCAATGGGTACAAAGTTACAATTAGAAAGGAGTAATAAATTGTGGTGTTCTCTTGTACAGCAGTGGGAT